CGAATTTTTTGAAACAGCTAAAATTAGTTTCCCTAGAAAGTGATGAATGAGGTAATCACTTGCATAATTTGATAATTCATATACGAAACTCTGAACTCGCACGCTGGTTTCTTTCAGGGAAGCGAAAGAAAAGAAAAAGATGACTAGCAAGATAATCCGCATAGGTCATTTTCTGATTTAGACAAGAAATATTGTAGTGGTTATCCAATACAATGTTGCTAACTTGCTCAAAAAAATCGACTGAAGACGATGTATGTCTTCAAATAAGAGAAAGTCTGTAAAAACGTTTTAAGGGTAATTTGATAGAGCAGTCAAGGAATTTTTCACTAGTCTACTACTATTCTACTTGCAAAACTTACCATGCAACTGTGTTAATTGCAATTGCCGTATCCGATCATATAATCGTGCATCTATAAGAAAAAGCAAATAGCTTTTCCTTAGACTATATACATAAAACTAGTGCTATGACTTAGGTTTTTGTCATCAATAGTTATTCTGGAACAAAATTTTACTTTTGGATTTTGAGAACGTAAGAGAGTTAACGTATATAAATCTTGTTTGAGTTAATTTGCGACAAGTTGAAAAAATTCAAGCATACCTCCCATCATGCCAGCTGACAAGGGGCCGTAAGCTCCTACACCCATAGGCGGAACTCCTCCAGCTCCGTACATACCTGACATACCTGTAGAAAGTCCTAAAAGTGATTCAGAGATTTGCTAAGAGTAGTTGAAAATGCAAATATTTTCTCGTCACCGACTTCTACATTTTCACTCCACTTTTGCTAGTTATTACTGACTCTCCTAGGTTCAGAATCAATGAAACGGTATTGAAGCTATCTTTGAAGTACTAGGAGTAGGTCGACTAAAAAATTCTTGATGTGCAAATCACTACAGCAATTAGCTCGTTATTCAGTTGTACGATAAGTAAATCGGTGTTTGTCGAAGAAACAAGTTTATTTTGACTTGCAAGTCTTCATAAAAATTTATTTTAGAGATTTATTTA